GATTCAACTCTTCTATTTGAATAACAATTGGTTGAAGCTTGGATCAACTCTTTTGTTTTTTCTATGTTTCAACATTGAGCAATTGATGGGTGTTCATGCGGGTCGTTATAGTTACTGTGATAGTTCCGGGCACCAACAAAAGCACCTGAAAGGCTTTAACCTGTTTATCAATTTCGGCTTCAAATTCCACCATGTGCGACTTTTGTGAATTGAAAGGGCATGAAGCATTCCAGCCAACAAATTGAAGTGAAGCTGAAAGATATCCTTGGGCATTGATGTTTGCACTTATTGCTTGCGACTGATGTTTAATTGAAGTTGAACCACTGGTAAACCTTGATAGTGTTCATGCTCTATATAGTTGCTAGAGCAACCTTATTGAATTTGCTTGAAATACAAAGTTTTGTGATTAAACAATGAATTATTGTTTTGTGAGGTTTATTCATGACTTCTAAGCTTTATAGCTATCCTCTTTCTTTTAGGTGTTAAACACACTTCCACTAATTCACTAATTCCTTTTGTTGAACAAATTAGTGCTTTATAAAGTATTTTGTGTTTGTTTTGAGCTATTTTAGGCCAGTCTTTATATTGTATAGTTCTCTTAGTTAGGCAATGACAGTTGTCATCAATATGAGTTCAATACTCTAGTTTAGTCTTGGTCAAATTTTTATCCCTACTCACTAGCAAATTCTTTACACAATATTCTTTTTTGACTAACTGGATGAGCCAACACAATGACAGTTGCACCAGTTGAGACTTGAAATGCCATTTGAAAGCAATATACAAACACAAGTGTCTCTTACAGGTTCAATTTTAAAATTTCAAAAAAACGACAACTCATTACTGCATTCGATATAACCATGGATTTTACAACAAAAGGGTGAAAATTGAAGCTCCATACATAGATATAGTTTGTGAATTAACTACGGTAGTTTCAACAAAAGTTTTCAACATTATCTACTAATCAATTCAACAGCTTTCCTTTGGCATTCCGTAACGCACTCACTTTGTCCATTTGGACTGTGAAATCCACCGAAATCTTCAGCTCATCTTGCTCAATTAGCTGAATTTGAGATTCAAGACTACGGGATATTTCATCTATTGTTTCACTTGTCACAGGGGTGACGAATTTAGCGCTAGCACTACTAGATGCACCACTTGATTTTTCTTTGACAACCCACTCCAAAAATCCACAATTTGTCACTGCAGCAAATGAATAATTTTCCTTTATTGACAGTCTCCTTCTCCGCCGTGCTTACATGACGAGCATGGGGGTTTCCTTGGGCAGTCATTGAAGAAGTGGGTCTTAGCTCTACAACTATGACAGATTCCAGAGTTCCTTCCAACCATTCTAACCTACAAATAAAGGAAATTTGAAAGCTGGAAAGAGAAAACTACAAAATGCTACAACAATATAATTACAACACACAGCGCTGACCATCAGCAAACAAACACTACATACTACATATTCAAACTGGAAATAATTGTGAAACAACAGCAACATTATAAAAAACCTTCCATAAATTCATTAAACCAACCTCAAACACACGTGTGGGTTACTCACAATGGGCTACTGGACAAAATGAGAACCGTTGGTAGCCTCTTTCTCAATTGAAGCACAACAAAGAAGTGGGAATAGATTTACAGATGAGTGCTAAAATTAAATCACGATGACGACTTCGGGAAATGATGTCGTTCACATACCACCGTTGTGCTTCATTGTGGGGGGGGGTTTGAAATTTGTGGTAAATATGGAAATGAAATTGAAATGATTTTCAAAAGCCGACTTCTGGTGGTGGGCAGAGATGGTGAGTGGTCGGAGATGGCAAGGCGACCGACGACAACCTTCAAGCGAACGGACGGGCGTTTCAGTTGTGGGTGGGTTTTGTTGAAATTTTGGGGATATTTTATACATAAGCTATTTTTTATTTTTTTATTATTGCTATTATTATTATTTTTTTTTTTTTTTGCCCTTTTCTTCTCTCTCTGTTCGTTTTGTCATTTGAAATTTTTTTAATGCCATGTTACCCTGGATTTCCCTTGTTACTAATCCCCAGGCCATATAGCTCTATTGATAATTTAAATAGAGGATTGTGATATTAGTGGATAAAATGATTATTAGATAAGTGGATAATACTTGTGAATCTCTCGAAATATACGAATAAAAAGTGACTTGATAATTGATAAACAATTTATAAACATGAGCCTAACACGGCTAAGTACATGTTTGGTAAATATTTTTTATAGTTTTTTCTTCAAAACTTATTGTCAACAACATATTTTCTTAATAAAATAATTTTCCACTTTGATCAATAACTTTTTCTTAATTTTGATCACACAATTTTCAAAAAGAAAATTACTTTTTATAAAATTTATTTTATAATATCTACATCAAAGAAGCTAAGTATTTATCTATAGCATCATTCCAAAAGAAATGTGAGAGTTGTCATTGTTAGTTGGATGAAAATTTTCAATGAGGATCAACCACCATGTGGACTTATAAAATAAAATAGAGGTTGGACTTAAAGAGTTGACGATCTTGATATGTTGATCTGTATAAAACAAAGATTTTATATAAGGAAAAGTAAAAATTGCATAGTTGGTCCCTAACCTAGTATCTCACTGACAAATTAGTTCCGAGAAGAAAACGAGTAACTTCTAAAACCTAAAAATAAATAAATTTCAACATTTGTAGTAGTTATACAATCAATTCTAGAAGACAGAAATCCTCCAGTTCTCTATTAGTTTTCATTTCACCATCATTTTGTTGCTAGCTTTAATTGCACTCCTGAACTCAAATATTACAAATAATAATAATAATAATAATAATAATAATAATAATAATAATAATAATAAATAAATAAATAAATAAATAAATAAATAAATAAACAAATAAATATATTAACTAGTGATTAGAGTTTGAAGTAATATTAAGATCATGTTTGATTCCAAATATTTTAAAACTCTTTTTTTACAGAATCATTTTTAACAACACACTTATACAATAAAATATTCTACACGTAAATTTAAAATATTTTCACATTTTTTAACTGCACATTCTCCCAAAAAATACTATTAAAAACTCTTAAAACTGAAAATAATATGCTCCAAACAGGAGGCTAAATAATATTGTTTACGTAAAACTTTAATATAAAAAAAAATTATAATTTAAGGTTAAGTTTTCAGTTCACATCGTTTTTTTCCTTTTTTTTTTTTTTTTAAATAGTAACCTTTAACATATTGTTCTGGTAATCATTTTTGATCAACATTATTTCCAAATTACATTTTTCTTTTTATTTTAAATCACATGTTTTTCAATAAAATAATATTACACCTAAATTCAAAAAAATTTCTTATTTTTTAACCACACATTTTCATCAATTTACTATTTTAAAATATATTCTTCGCTAAAAATGAGGCTCAAACACGCTCTTATCTCTTTGTGCTAGCTTTAATTCATCATGGAAGATCTGCAACACAATTAAGGTTATTCTACTTGTACAACCCATACAATTATATTCTTAGTCTTAAGGCTACATAGGTGGCAATAGAGGCGATCGCTCTGGCACATTTTCAAATTATTTTGAATTTTTTAATATATACATTTAGCCCATGTTCAATAGGGAATAAAATTTTAATTTTAATTTTAAATTCTCTTCTCCCTAAACGGGTATAATTGTCATCTCAAATTAATAACTTATGGATGAAGAATTTGAAGGCGCACTGTCAATGACAGGCAAGTCGTTAACGTGTTCAACTTAAACCAACCATAATGAAACACGCTAACAGACAAATCATTCCCGCGACTTTAACGTGTCTTATTCCTACGGGTCTGATGCGATATGAACTTTCGAGTCACCAGCAAAATATTTGAACTCTTTTAAAAAGCTCAATGCCATGATTATTGCTACATGGGCGGGAATAATGTTATATGTACATCATTCGACGATATTACTCTCCATGTGATAGAAATTTGTATAGTGGTATGATGGATGAGTGTAAAATCAAGAGTGTAGATATAGCATGGTTAGTATGGACAGTGTTAGTGACGTGAGTTTTTTCATTTTTATAACAAGAGATAATAATGAACCTCACAAGAAAAATACTATAATAACTCTAGTAATGAACTATTGATTGAGATAAAATCGATTAATAAAGTTAGAGAGTAACCTAAACAATGACGAATCTAAAAACAACATAATTTTCAAGTGTATCAAAGAAAATTCAAATTTCAATGTTGGGTTGATAACGACCCTCCTCCCATAACCAATGGCGGAATCACATGGGTTCACGTGGGCCATTGACTCCATAGAATTTTCTAATTTTGTTTACAATTTTAACTTTTTCTCAACATGAGGTGAGTGATTAATACCATCGACCTTCAACAATTTGAAAGAATCCTCCGTATTTGCTTTAGGACCCAACAAACAAGATAACAAGACCTCAAAAACAAGCAAATTAATTAAGGTTTGATCTTTAAAAAAAATTATAACTTAATTTTGATCCCCTAAGAAAAATGTATGATTCCATTATTGTCCATGACCTAAGACACTCTTGTAGCAATCTGTCCTCAACTTTTTTCCGTCGATTAACTTTGAGTTAAAGTGCTTGTTTGGGAGAGCTAATTAGATTATTAAAAAGTCAGAGTCAAAGTTAAATATTAAATTTTATTTTGTCTTTATGTTTTGATGTAATTTATCATCATTTACTGAACCTTGCTACAGTTATGGGGATTGGTTGACGGAATCTTTACAATTGCCTCCCTGGCAACAACCAATCAACAGAAAGACTACTATAAAAATTCTATAAACCATTTCTCCATGCAGTTTGCAAAATTTATATTTATATGGGCACCATAACAAAGAGAAAAATTGAAGTGGTGAGCTGAAAATTAATGGTATTACTCATGTCAAGAGCCAAGAAAAGGTTCTATGAATCCACCATTGTCCACATCAAAGCAGTTTTCATAACGGGTTTGTTCCTTTTTCATTTAGTTTCTGGACCGCATTTAACTCATCATTTCATCTTATTATTTTGGAGTAGTTCTCAAGTTAAAATGATTAATGATTACTACATGGAATATATGCATGTTTGTATAAATAATATTAAATATGGAATTTTGCGGTGAAATATTTGGGCTATTCGTGGCAAGATGAGTGGAAAATGAAGAAATTGAACAACCTGTGCTGGGATGATCAACCAGGATCCCCTTTTTCTTTCTTCTTGTATGTGCTTATTGCAGTCTGTGTGTTTATATTGAATCAAATTTCGTTTGCCTGCTAATTTTTTGTATAAATATGTGCTTAAAATTGTGTATTTTTGGGCTGATTGTGGTAAATTTATTGACTGTGGGTTGCAGACAGATTTATACTTTCTTTGAAAATTTCGATATGTGCACAATTTTGATAAATGGGTATTGTCAAAGTTTGAACCCAGTCTTGATATAATGCTTGTGGTTTAGCAATTTCTATATTGTTTTGTGTAATTATAAATGCTTTCTTAGTGAAACTATGTACTCTCAACCCTTTGTGATTCAAGCTAAAAACCTAAACTTGACTTGTATGGATCTTTTTTCTCAATGAATAATTAGATTTTTATTTTTTTGTGGTTTTGATGTTTAGATTTGCTCACGTTTTCTTCATTAACTTCATATAACAAGCACTATAATGGACAAAAAGTAACTTATCCTAACACGTTTATTAACAAATATTTACTTAAAATGTAATTTTTACTTATGTCAAGCTTCGCCAAACACGCTCTTCACACTGCTAGCAATATATAATTGGGTTTTAGTTGCATCATTATTATTTAAATATAATTTGCCAAAGGAATAACCTTACACTTTTGAATTAGAGGGTCTACAAATGTTATAGCAATGAGATTGTCATTTGTATTGTAGGTTGATGACAAGCCAGATTCAGCTAAGATTGGCAAATATGTTGAGGGTTGCAGAGATTATATGTCTTATAATGGCTCTCAAAGTTCGGGATTTGAACTTTCCGATCTGAAACATGCCCGGAGATTGTCCCCGAAGCCCCATCTCCCCATCCTTTGGTAATGCCACATTCTATTAATAAACTGTGGACATGTTTCTTGTGAGTGAAACATGTGAGTGTTCCTGGAAGTCATTCTGTGAGGTTCCAAGTTTTTGCTCACATTTAGACTAGTGGGATCATATCTTTCTAAGCGATGGAAGATTTATAAATATTTCCATTGCAAACTTAAATGAAGGCAAGTCAGTTTGGCTATTGTAAGCATTTTCAGGATTTGGATCTTCTCTTTTTTGAAGATTTCATTATGTTTTTTGCGTATGTATTTATTGACAATTATGGGTTCTACTAATATTATTTTTTAACCATATATTCTATGGAACTCATAGTTTTTCAATTATATATTTCATCAACTTTAACTAAAATTTTCTAAAAAATTGATTTTAATTTTCTAAAAGGGATTTAATATTTATCATGACGGTTTGCAATTCTTGAGTTGTAATCAATCGTGGTGAAGTTGAGATGTGAGTTCTTTTCTACATTGATTGACCTATCTTTTCATCTTGATGGACTATGAATATAGGTACAAGTTAGAGTGAAAAGAATTTATTTATTTATTTTTTATATAAAAAGTAGTTGTTGGGAAAAAATTTCTTCAAATGTAAAATACATAGAAAAATATAAATTTAGTTGAAAAATGTAGTTCGATAAACCGTCTACAATTGTAGGAAAAAGAAAACTTTATTAGTTGAATAATTTTGCAATACATTAATGTTTTTATTTATTTCAAAACTTCTACCTATACAAACCTAGAACGTTCATGTATACGTAGACTTTTAATTTTTTAGCTTCTCTTTCTCATGCACAACCTTAACTATCCATCTCTTGCGTCAAATTCTATTGAAGTAGCTCTTAATTCATCCACGCCCATGGATGCCCTATGATCTGTTCATATATAAGGGTTAAATAAAGGAAATAATTGCCCTGTCGTAATATGGCTTTTTGCCCATGTTTGAGCCCCATTTTGGTGGGAAAAAAAATGTATTTTTGGATAGTACATTGATGAAAAATGTGTAGTTAAAATAAGTTTTAAATTTGCGTATATTATTATTTTATTGAAAAATGTATGATTGAAATAATATCAAAACATTTTATAAAGAAGGGAGCTCAAAACAAGGGAAATATTTAAAATTGCCAAGATGGTCCTTAACAAATTAGTTGACTCAGTTTCAATAATTTCCAGCTTTATCAAGTTCCTTCAAATCATAACCCATCTTCATTCCATCTTCGTGCCTCTTTACTTGTAGGTGGCATAGTTGCTCAATTAATTCTTGCAGACATGAGTCGAATTCAAAGTCCAATAAAAGGTGACTATGATATCTCCGAACTTTGATCTTCATTCTTCTCGTCATTAGTCATAGAACCAGTTTTGACACTTCCAAATTATTGATAATAATAAATGACTCTAATCTGTACGACTTAAACGCGAAAACTCTGCCTAAAATTGTCTTCCCTATTAGCCTATAATTACAACCATTTTGCCTCTCATTAGTGCCACGTAATTTTTCTTCTTGTTTATCATACCAGCTCATCCACAATAATAATCCAACATGTTCAGTGCTCCCAACAGTATCAAATTTCACACCCACCTTGAAACGTACATAAGACTGTCAATAACCACACTGCTCCATCAAACGTCTTTACTTTCAAAATATGCAAACCTTTAGCATCAAGTTTTTTATTATCAACCGTTTCGATAAATTTTGCAAGCATACGGGATAACAAGTAATATATTGGTGAGTTAATAGTATCATCTTAAGAGTAATAAACTTTAAATCGAATTGTTTTAATTTTCTATCAAATTCAAGTATGTTACAAAAAAAAATTGTTATTTTGTAATTATCCTAATTTATTCTATGAGTTATGTAAAATTCATGGTTTGTATGGAATTTATGGAATGAGTGTATTGAACTAATCATCCATGGGTGATCAATCAATCATGTAATAGCATATACATGCAAGATTATTCAGAAAAACACAAGAAAAACTAAACTACTTGTCATTGAATTAGAAGTAAATAACCAATGGTCAATTTTTTATCCAATACAATAGAGAATTTAGTCTAGCATACTTTTATATAATTTACACAAAAAAATATAAAAAGATATCACCCAAAATAAAGAATAAAGGAAGAAACTTAATAAATCATTTTCTTGAAATTCTTTCTTGAATTCGAGCCTTGAATCTACAAGTCCTTGTGCCAATTGCCTTCAATCCTCTTACTAGACTCCTTCTAGTTGTTAAAATATGATGTGGTTCGTTTTTGGCGACCTCAATTAGGTTAACAGTGGCTAGGAATTGATACCATAAAGAGTTGAAATAAAAAAGGGAAACTAGCCTATCGGACCTGGACTAGAGCCATGCCTATGCATGGTAGAGACCTTTTGGTCTGGGGTAGTAAAACTTGGGGACTTGCACACACATGGCTTGGAGGCCCATGAATAGTAATGGGATCAATTACAAATTTGTAATTGATCCCTGGACTAATTCAAATGTGCAATTAAGTTATTTTTCATTCATTTTTAGTCATTTGTCTTCTATTCTCGCCTAATTTTCTTTTTGTAATCTTCAATCATCGATATTTGATCCGAATTAACTTTTAAAAGTTTACATTTTAGTCCTCGAACTTTTAATTTTTCCATTTTCACTCTTTTTCGTTCTTTTCAATCAAATTTCACTATTTTGCATCGAGTTTTACCTAAAAAACACAATTTACTCAAAATCAATAATAAATAATCTAATTTAACGGTTTAGAAAATGTACAAAATACATTTATCATATACCGTCGAATTTGAACATTTGTTTGTCCTTAAGTAAGATATTGACTAACTTAAACAAATTTAATTAGATAACATGTCGGTGGTGTTGACATCCGTCAAATTAAGAATTTATTAAAGTACTAAAACTAGTCACATCCTGAATCACATACCTCTGCCTTAAACAAGGCACCAGGTGCTGCCTTTTATTTTATTTTTTCTCTTTGTATTTTTTTTTAAGTATAGGCTCGTGAGCTCGAGCCGGCGAACCACACGGGCCGGCTCGGGCTTTGCCCGGCACCCCAAAATGGGGCTCGACCCGAGTTTCAGCTCAATTCTTCCGAGCCTCGAGCCGGATGGACTCGAGCTTTTTTCGAGCCGAGTCGACGAGTCTGATTGCCATCCCTATTGTCCGCAAGTACCTAGCAGCTACGTGAAGCTACTTGCAGGTAGTTGCCCTCAAGAGGCAGTTGTGCAGGCTGCCTACATGAGGTAGCTACATATTGGTAGCTACACAACTACCTCATACAAGTAGTCGTGTAGCTATGGACAACTACTTGGCAATATCTGACTAAATTTGAAATTCATTTTTTGTAAAACGAGCCAATCTTTTTGTTAGTATATAGGAAGGCAAAATCTTGAATTTGATATCAATATCACTCAATAATATTTAATTTACATTATTCTAATTTTTCGATAATACTCGTTCAACTTCTTTACTTTGATATTCAGTTTCTTTTGCGATATTTTTTTTCAAATTTACGTGTTCCATATTTCATAGACATTGATGGATTTTACTAGTGATGAGGTTAACCAATTTAAAGGTAGTTCAAGTACTCCATTCGGCTACAATGCATCTGAAAATGTTTCAATTGATTTGGAGGATATCTAAGAAGAATAAGTATTCAAAACTAAAATATCAAAGAAAGAATCATCCGATTGTTGGGAACATCCGACTCGAAAAAAATTGGTGTTTAAAATGAAGTGGATATTTGAAAAGTAAATTGCAATTACTGTGGTAAGGAACTAAATTGGGAGCCGAGTTCAAGCACATCTCATTTGAATAAGCTTGTAGCAAGGACTTGCAAAGCGAAACCAGTCTGTCTTGACCTAAAATAGACAGAACTTGTGTTTGACAGTTCTAGTTCTACTCTTTCCACATTCATATATTCACGGGAAAGATTTTGTGAAGGAATGTCTGCATCGTAGCTACAATTGAGATGATGCTTATGGTGATAGACATTATTCACTTTACCTGAATCGTGTTGTGATACCTCCTATCTAGGTATATTCCTTATTGTAGAAATACTCTTGTGTAGACACTATAAAATTATAAAACAAAAGACAACAAATTGTAATGACAGTCTAAAAACTTTTGATGGTGTTACATCATTTACCTTTGATTTATGAACCAGTGATAACAAAAAAATTATATTGTTTATATGGCACATTACATTGATCACCTTTGGATTCTAGAAAAAAGGATTATTACATTTAAAATAGTAGAACATCCGAATAATGCGACTAACATATACATGATTTCAAAAGAGATTATCAAGATTTTGATATGTAAGAAAGAGTTCAAAGTTTTACTTTTGACAATGCTAGTGTGAGCAAAATTGTTGAAATTTTATTACTTATCTAAACCCTACATTTGGAATTTTTTATCAGCGTTGTATATGTCACATTATCAATTTAATTGTAAACGATGGTTTAGAAAATATAAGGGGACAATTAGGCAAAATTAGACAAGTTATGAATTTCATTACTATGTCACCATCGAGAAAACAAACATTTAATAATTTGTATGCAGAACATGGCTTAGAAGACAAATCATTTGCCATTGATGTAACACAAAGATGGAACTCAATATATCTCATGTTATAGTCGTGTGAAAAATAAGATAAGATTATTTCACTGGATTATAATTATTGGCATCATTACAGGCCTGGATATAATTTGGATGATTGAGATTGGTCATTTGCATTTTGTGTAAATATTTAAAACCCTTCTTTGATGTCACAACTGCCTATAACGATGTTTATTACCATACATCTTTGCTTATTTTACAATATTTTTTCTATATTGCTTGAACGTTTAATAAATATATGATTTTGTCAATTTTTGTTGATATAATCTTTTTTATGGAGTTAAAATTTCGTAAATATTGGGAAGAGTTGCCTTCTTTATTTTTTTTTAGCCTCGATGATGGATCCTCGAATTAATTTAACTAGGACAAAAGCTATTATAAAGGAAATTTCAAATTACATGAATGTGGAATTATCACATGTATGTATAGAATTTTCATTATGTGAAATGCATAACTATTATGCTGGAAAAAAGGAGATTAGAGCAGTTCTAGTTCCAAAAGTACATTTTCAAGAAATACCACAAGGAGTTCTAATAATATATGGATTTTTTTAAACACCAATTAAGTGTTTCCTTATTTAGTTCTAGTTCATCCATATCTATAGTGATAGGTGTTTGTGGTATAGATATTGAAATTCCATCTGAGTTGGCTAGGTGTATGTG